CTTCTTCTTCTTCTTCTTCTTCTTCTTCTTCTTCTTCTTCTTCTTCTTCTTCTTCTACTTCCTCCTCTTCCTCTTCTTCTTCTTCCTTCCCCTCTTCCTCTTCTTCTTCTCTTGCTCCTCCCCCTTCCCCTCTCCTTCTCTCTCCCTTCACCCCCCTTCTCCTCCCTTCTTCTTCTGGTCTCATACTTATAATGTTAGCACTCTGCCTGTGAGCCACACCTCCAGCCATGCTTTTTTGCTGGTTATTTTGGAATTGGAGTCTAGCAAACTTCCTGCCCAAACTGGCCTTGAACTACACTCTTCCGGATCTGAGCCTCCTGAGTAGCACCAGCACCCTGTTTGGGAAATGTTTTTTTGACTACAGTGTTTCCCAACATCCCAACTCCATGACTGGGAGGCATGGGCATGGGTGGTATGCCAAAACAAGACTTAGAGAGTTTTCTGTGGTGGTTTATAAAGGGGAGGGCTCAGCCTCGTCTCTGTGCTATTTATGATTGCCTATGTTAGGATAAGTGCTAGGCCCAGAGATTGAGAGGACACTTAATTTTGATAGTGAGTGCATTAGAATGTCATTGCTGAAGAAGTCAGTTAGGTTGCTAGAAGCTTTGATGCTTCCTGAGCTTGGAAAATAAGAAATACAGGATAAGGTAAAACGACATGATTTGATTTTGTCGCACATAGGCTCCTTAGTTGTTGTTGTGTGAACATGGAAGGCAGTCTCTTCATTCATTCATACACTACTGTCTCGGTTCAGCAAGGGCATTGATGATCAATGTCCATATACTCAGGGTACCATATGGGCAGGACTTAAGAAGTGGGGTGCATTGTAGCTATGAACAGGCGCTCTTAAGTCAGATTGGCCCCACATCTCACCTCTGTCCTTCCTAATCTCATAGTCTTGGTAATTGGTAAACTTTTTTCATCCTCAGTTTCCTTATCTATAAAGTAGATATTATTTAATTTTACTGACTGGATTGTTTGAAGATTAAATGAGCTAATACATGCACAATACTTACTGCCACCCAGGTCTTACTAGGTCCTAGTCTGCTGAGTGTTTTACATTAGTGTCCATTGTTATCATCATCATCATCATGGAGTCATCAATCTCCTTGCCTCTTTCCCTGCTCTGTGTATGCATACTGGCATCAGCTACTAAAAAAATGGCTTGTTGTTGTCAGTGCCATGCGAAGATCTTAGTCATTTTTTTTCAATTTACTAACAAATATGTGCTGTCCTACAGAACCCTCAACGTGGGCCTTCTGAGATCCAAAGACAAAAGGCTTGACTCACTGGGTCAGATGAGTGTTTGGTAGGACTGGCAAGTGCTACCTTCCACAGAAGGAGCATATTGTAAAGGGTATATGTTTCCTTCACAGCTCTGTGAGAGCTAACGTGACAGATTCAATAGCAGATTCAGTCCAGACTCTGATTGTTTCTTCTTTTATTTTGGTCAGTCTTTGGGCTTGAACCCAGGGATGGGGCACTGTCCCTGAACTCTTTTGCTCAAGGCTTTACAGCTCCACTTGTGGTTTTCTAGTGGTAAATGGGAGATAAAAGTTGTTAGCACCCATCCCCAGAAGACCACCAGACATAGTCGTGTACAAGAAAAGGAGTTTATTTGCCAGCCAAGGCTGACAAGGCCACCTCTAACAAGAGTCTAATGGAGTTTCCTTCCTGGGCTGGCTTCAAATTGTGATCTTCAAATATCAGCCTTCTGAGGAGCTAGGATTACAGGCATGAGCCACTAGCACCTGGCTGATTGTGGGATTTATAACTATTTCAACTTGCATCTATCATTTCTAAAATAATAGTAATACTATTTACTTTGAAGCATTTTTGTGGATTAAATATTGGGGTTGAGCTATGAACATTTCTGAGTATTGGCTCTTATAAATCTATAGACCATAAGTTCACCTTCTGTCTATGGAACCCTGATAGTTTTGGTCCTCACCACTGAGGTGGGGTATTTCCCACCTGAGACACCTATGGTATCAAATGTGGTTTCTGGATTTGCTAAAGACTGGATTTTTAGTCTCAACCTTGCAGCTAATTGGTTCTGTGACTCACTCTTCCTAGAGCCTTAGCCTTTCATATAATCATGGTTTCTGTCTCACAGGATTGTTCTAAGGATCAAATGAAAGGAACCATATAAATATGCCTATGTTGGGCTATCAGTAAATAGCTACTACTGTTTAATCCTATAAGTGAAATGATAGCTTTCAGAGCATCAGGTTTGATGCTTCATTTAATTTTACTTTTCTCAGGATTCATTATTTTTTTCTCAATTTATTTATGGTTGTACCACTTTAAAAAAGAGTTTAATTCCTATCTTTGTTCATATCTGTTCATAGCTGTAACCCTGGAATGCATAGGAGTTTATGTTCTGCATTTTTCAGTTAATGATGTCTGTGTTTCATAAATACTTTCATAGTGACTGCATAATATATTGCCCAGTAGATGGACCCATATAATTATTTCTTGGTCGCTGAGCAATTAAGTTGTTTCCATTAATTTGCAATTATAATGTTTCAGTGAACGAATAATTTTCACATATATGGCTTTTTGATGTTTTTAAATTTAGTTCCCTAGGACGAATTCCCAGTGATAATACTTGGTCAAAGGGGATAAACATGGCTTTTTGAATACATGTTGCCAAACTTCTTTCCCAAGGGGACCAGTTGATTTATACTTCCATTTTTATTATTTTAAAACTTCAGTCCATTCTCTTACCCAACAAGTGTTTTTTAAGTCCTAATCATGTGACAGGCTTAGTGAGAAGTGACTAGGGGAGAAGGGTTTTCCTGTGCCAAGTCCTGGTAAAGGACCAGAGGACTTAGAGACTCAGAGGAGGGACTTCCAGCTCAGCTGGTAGAGAAGTTTATTTTCATAGAGTTGTCTTTTGAAGTGTAATGACAGATAATAGTTTCATATATTTAAGGTACAGAATGTGATGTCTTGAAATATATGCATATACATGTATATATATATATATCAATTTAAAATGTTACCTACGTGTACATATGTCAGTTTAATATTAGCACAAAATAAAGACTTTACTATGAAGAAAAAAAAAGGTTTGTGAGATATGCAAACTTGGAGATTACAATGTCTTCTACTTTGGGATTATTTAAAGAAGTGTTTAGGGAATCAGCCCCCACTCTGGTTTTAGGGACGCCGCTCTCAGCCTGTTTTCTTCTGAGTAGGGAGCCACTAGTCTTTGACTTTCCTGCTGTGCTATCAAGGCAAAGTATCCTTTTATAGTTTTAGGTTAACAGTGTTTTTCTCTTACATTAAAGAAATAATACATGCATGTTATAGAAAAATTTGAAAACAGTAAAAAAAGAAAAAAAAGGTTGCTCATATTCTAATCACTTCAGAATAGCCATAATTAATATCTTGTGACATTTCCGTTCAAAATGAAGATTCAAGAACGAGTCATATGGAACTATACCAAAGGTCTTTGGAAATTAAAAGATATTTATTTATTTATTTTTTGCCAGTCATGGGGCTTGAACTTTGGGCCTGGGCACTGTCCCTCAGCTCTTCAGCTCAAGGCGAGCGCTCTACCACTTGAGCCAAGGTGCCACTTCCGGTTTTCTGGTGGTTTATTGGAGATAAGGGTCTCACAGACTTTCTTGCCTGGGCTGGCTTTGAACTGTGATCCTCAGATCTCAGCCTCCTGAGTAGCTAGGATTATAGGCCTGAGCTACTGGTGCCCGGCTAAGTTAATTATTTAAAAATAGCAAAAAATTAAACAACAAGTAATAAAACCAACGCCCCCCTAAAAACCAGAGAAAACAAAAAAGAGCCAAAGCACTCAAGTGCCAGTAATTACAGGAAGGCTAAATTTTGATTAGAATGGAGTGACCATTAAAAATTCTTTTTTTTTTTTTTTCTGTAATGAACTTCTTGCTGAGGCTGAGATTTTAGTAAAAGACATTATATCTGGCTGAGTGAGTCCAGGAGACTGAGTAGGTGAAGAAGCAGGTACGAGGCCTCCTCCCTGGCTTAAGGAAATCATGAGGTACAGAGTGGAATGGTTCAGGATGAGAATTTCAAACAGTTCAATGATATTAAGAATGTCAGGGTATGGTAGGAGAGGTTGAAGAGTCGAACAATTGTTAGAGGGAATTTTCTGCAGATTTCCCAGAGCCAATAGCATTAGGCACCATATGACTGGGAATGTTTGACTGTTCTGTCTTATTTTCTACTCAGTGTCAGCTGCTGCTGGAAGTGGCCTGGCCTTTGTTCATCTTCTTCATCTTGATCTCTGTCCGGCTGAGCTATCCACCCTATGAACAACATGAATGTGAGTATCCATGGATCATGCCCGAGACTCACTCACTGCTGACAAGGGAATTTCAGGCAGGGAATATGGCCTAAATTTACTTTTTCCAAAGATGGTGTGTGGAAGAGATACCACAAATGATTAGGACCAGAAAACATAACTTCCTAATTTTTTTGAGAAAGCATGAAATCAGAAGACCATTTTGAGTCCTAGTGAATGGAAGTAACAGGAGTGATAACAAGAGCTGATATCTGTTTTACATATCTGAAATCACACAAAAAACAAAATAACTTTAATTACAGTTCACAAAGTAATGATTTAAGAGTCTCCTAGAGGGAATGTCTTAATACTACTATTACCCAATTCCTGATGATCTTTTCCGTATGCATCATGTCTTAATCACATAATAAAAGAATAGAAAGGGAGTTAGATTTTTACAGAGCCTTTGTATAGACCATTTCAGTTTTACTAATATTCCATTTGATTCCTGAAAATATTGTATAATAGGTGGTATTGTCATTTGCTCTAATTCTTGATACCTAAGTTAGGGCTCACACAGTGGCAGAGACTTGCCGGAGTCCCATATCTAATCAAGTAGAGATGTATTTTGATACCAAAATACATGATACAGAGTCAGATGACCTAAATTTTGATAACAACCTTTATAGCAAATGTCAAAATATAGAATTGACTAAGAACCTAAGAGTGTTTGAGCTTGAATCTTGGCTTCAACATTCACTAAGGCATATCATCTTAGGCAAGTGAATTTAGCTTCTTTTTTTTAAAAAAAGCAGAAATCCTAGCTTCTCAGGAGTCTGAGATCTGAGGATTGAGGTTTGAAGTCAGCCTAGGCAGGAAAGTTATTGAGACTCTTGGAGCTGTAGCTCAAGGGGCAGAGTACGAGCCTTATACAAAAAAAAGCTCAGACACAGTGCCCAGGCCCTGAATTCAAGCCCTAGGACAGGCTAAAAAAGAAAAGAAAAACAGTAATACTTTTCTTATTGATACTAGTAGTATCATCCTGATTTAAGGCTATCATGATGACTGGTCTTGAGATATGAATTGACACTGCAGAAATGTCCAAATCAGAAGGACCAATATTTATGTGGGACTTTAAGTGAGGACCTCTAGTTATTGTTTCAGGGGCTTTTCTCACCACTTCCCAGCTCTACCTATACCAGAACCATAGGGCTTATAGGATTTTGTTTTTCCAGGAAAGCAATGGGGCCAAAGCCTCCTTGAGTTTCTCTGATGTTTAATAGTAGCAGTTATTTATCTGGTAGTTTGCTAATGTGCATCATGTACATTCATGTTAAACACACATATATGCACACATACACATCTACACATAAAACCTAAACAATATTCCTTCAGACATAATATGATTTCACCCAAAAGGAATGAAGTATTAAATGAAGTTTCTACTCGATTTAGAGGCCTATGAGGTAGTTCTATTTTCTGTTTTGGAAACTTAAGGAATATGTTTACTCAGTAGCAAATCCATGTTTAATTTTTATTAAAGCATGACCCCAACACCCACAGAAGTATATCTTTTAGAGCATACTTAGCTTTTTTCACCCCCTAGACTATTGTCTTTCTGGAATGATCACAAGCAGGCCAGGTTGTAAAGTAGAAACTGCACAAAATTTGGCATCCGATTTATCATGTACTTGGGTGATCTTAGACATATTACATATTCTTGAATTCACACTTAGATCCTTTTTACTCCAGATCACAGACTTTTTGGGGAATGTTATGAGCTTCTTCTGTGTTTCAAGGGCAGACAGGACTTTCCCCATCCATCTGTGTACTTGCAGACTCATCTCTGATTCTCACCTCCTTCTAGGACCCAGTTGGAAGGACAGAGTTGAAAAATAAGTCAGAGCTTGCAAAATTATCTCCTCTCTGTAAATGAACGACTAGTGTAAGATTCTCCTCTCTCTTTGTCTCTTTTCTCCCTCCCCTCCCCTCCCCTCCTCTCCTCTCTTCCTTTCCCCTCCCCTCCCCTCCCTCCCTCTCTCCCTCCCCTTCCTCCCTCTCTCTCTCCCCTTCCTTCCTTCTTTCCTTCCTTCTTTCCTTCCTTCCTTCCTTCCTTCCTTCCTTCCTTCCTTCCTTCCTTCCTTCCTTCCTTCCTTTCTTCTTTCTACATTTTTGTTAGCTTATACTAATTGCATAAGGAGCTTTTATGCATTTTATACATATAAAATACTCTGACCAAATTCACCCCTTCTCTCATTCTGTATCTTCTCTCTCTCCCCTTTCATTGTTTTCTTCTCATACATGTATATAAAATTGCTTTCCTAGCTACTTGGGAGTCAGGAGATCAGGATGAGTGAGGTGTGAGGCCAGCTCAAGCAAAAAAGTTTGTGAAATGTCAACCTTAAATAAAGGCTTGGCATAGTGGTATGTCCCCACTTTGGGGAAGCACAGTGTCTGGGCACAGTGGTGATGCTTATCATCCTACCAGGACTGGGAGGCACTAATAGGAGGATTGCAGTGTAGGCCAGCCCAAGCACAAAGTGAGGCCTTTTCTTAAATAACCAACATAAAAAGAGGGCCTGGTAGAGTGGCTCAAGTGGTAGACTTACTGCCTTGCAAGTGCCAGGGCCCTGAGTTCAAGTCCAGTACTACCCCAAACTAGTCAATCAATTAGTCAGTCAATCAATAATGTTTTTTCCCTGCAAATCTTTCTTTATCCAACTCAGAGTCATCAGAATCCTAGTAACTTTCCTGGCTCCTGGGTATCCATTATATCATTTGATTGACATCCTGTGCACTAAGTGCAGACTCCTAATCCTGCTTTCGTTTGCAAATAAAATGAATACAAGAAAGGATCTTTTCCACTCACCTTCACCCCCTACCCCTGTTGAAGGAGAGTCTGAAATACCTTTGCCGTCACTGCCCCTACTGCCTTTGGCCAATATCATCCAGAGCCAGTATCTCTGATATATGAAAGAAGACAATCCCTTGGTCCTTGGAGTATTTGGTTGGGTTACATAAATCTCTGAATGAGGAACAGTTCATTAGGTAATGGGCCTTGTTTGGTTTACCTTGAACTATTAACAGGAAGATAAAGAGATTAACTGAGTAAATGTTCAGTAGGCCAGAGTCCCTGTAGAGAGTAGGCACAGAGATCAGATCTTGTCTCCTCCTTGCTTTGGATGTTATCTCTCTGGTTGGAACATGGATAGAAGATGGGAAGGCTCCAGTATTGATAGGCTTAGTGCAGCAAGGCCTAGCTTTGATGTAGCTTTGGGGGAGTCTCTGTCACAGACTTGTATGAATAAAACAAGTTTGGGAGTAAGATGGTAGCTGGGAGAGAGAAGGAGGTTTTTACTTGGACAATAGCAGTGGAAATACTATTGTGTGCTCACTGCCACAGTATTAAAAAGTCCTAACAGCTCCCATTCACTGAGCATTTTAACTTGGGGTAGGCCCTTTGCAAAAGTGCTTTGACTGTAATTTCTTATTTAATACTTACCACTTGTATTTCTTTCTTTCTTTTTTTTATTTTGTGTTGGTCCTGGGGCTTGAATTCAGGACCTACACGCTGAATCTGAACCATAGCTCCACTTGGAAATAAGAGTCTCATGACCTCTACTGCCTGGGCTGGCTTCAAACTCTTATCCTCAGATCTCAGCCTACTGAGTAGCTAGGATTACAGGTGTGAGCCCCTGATGCCTGGCTCACCATGTGTGTCTTTAGCATCATTTTGTAGATTGAGAAAACTGAGGGTTATGAGATGGGCCAGTGACTTGAGCAAAGGGACTGGTAGTGAATCCCAGTTGGTTTGACCCCAGAGATTAAAGATACATGCTCTTCACCACCTAGAGCTGTGGTTGTTAATGGTTGTCAGCTCTAGGAGGTCACAGATAATTGTGTGAATATGACCAAAGTTGGAACTATAGCTGTTCTGTTCTAACATGAACAGGCCCTCAGGCTAAGAGCTCCTGATGCAGAGCACCTTTACCTGTATCCCCAGAAGCAGCACCCATGGATGACTGCCATATCCCAACCTGTGCCTTTGAAGCCTGGGACCCAGTCCAGTCATGCCCAGTAATCTTGTTTGCAAGGAATTCCCATAATGAAAGAAAAGGAGAGTGAGAAGCTGATTTAGCAAATAGGACCTCACTTCACTGACAAGGGACAAACCAACCACGAATGTAGCTTCACAGATGGCATCTGACCCACCGACTCAGCATGTTTTTGAGGTGCCCTTGAGGAGATTATGAGCTGGCAGAGGAGGTGTCAAACTGAAGAGAGAGGCAGAGATTTAGAAGATCCTGGCTCCAGAGGAGGTCCTAGGCATACGGAAGGGTCTTGGGTTGGGATTATGGCGATGCTGAGTCTACTCTGAGGTGGGCCTGCTACTGTCTAGGAGACGTCTTTCATGGGCCACTTCACTGGAGTGTGAGGGGACTGGATTAGGTCACTTCAAGGCCCTTCTATGTCTCTGGGAGGTGGTGGTAATCAGGCACTTAGCTGTCTCAGTCTACTTCACTCACCATTTCCCTGAGGTTGCTGTTTACTGGGGACCTGCAGGTGATGCCACATGCATTCAGAATGGCTAAGAGAGTTGATGTCAGGTTTCGAATTCAAGGCCCTAGAGGAGGTACTTTTCTGGGAAAATGGGAAAGAGAGGCATATAGATTTGGGATGAAGTATTGTGTGAATAGAGTTCTGAAATCACTTCAGAGAATTAACCTTCGTCTCTGTGTGTTTTTCTTCCCGATTTCAAACAGGCCACTTTCCAAATAAAGCCATGCCATCGGCAGGGACGCTTCCTTGGGTTCAGGGGATTATCTGTAATGCCAACAATCCCTGTTTCCGTTACCCAACACCTGGGGAGGCTCCTGGTGTTGTTGGAAACTTTGACAAATCCATGTAAGTACCAGACCCGACTTGTCCGTGAACACTTATCCTGCCCTTTGTGGAAATGTTTGTATGAAAAAGACTGTAGAATGGGACCTTACTTTGTTGCATAAGTCACGGCGATATGTGGCCCCAAACAAACAAACAAACCCAAAGTGTTGGGTTTTAAACTGTAAAATGTACCAGAAGAAGGGAAGGGAGGGACAGCAGGATGCTAGCTGCACATCTGAAATGGCCCCTGAGTTGGGGTACGCCAGAAGGGGCTTGGTCCTCAAGTTAGTTACACTCCCGTCTACTATGAAGCAACCACTGTGGTCTCAGGATTAGGATGATTGAAATGATGGGTGGTGAGGACATCATGGGTTGTCCAGTGAGACTGGGTGTGGGGAGCAGTAGCAGTGCTCAGCATCTGTGTGTGTGTGTGTGTGTGTGTGTGTGTGTGTGCGTGTGTGCGTGCGTGCGTGCGTGCATGCGTGCGTGTGTGCACACACGTGCATGCGCATGCTGCAAGCCAGTCTGTGGCAGATAGATCTGGTAATCAGTTTATTAACGCAGGAGAAGCAGCTAGATGGTCTAACCAAGGATTTTATGCTTTTCTTACCCTTTACAGTGTGTCTCGCCTGTTCTCAGATGCTCGGAAGTTTCTTTTATTCAGCCAGAAAGACACCAGCATGAAGGACATACACAGAGTTCTGAGAACATTGCATCAGATCAAGAATTCCGGCCCAAGTAAGCAGATGCCTTCTGCGCGTGTGTTTGGAAGTAGCCCTTGGCCTGAATCTGTGGCCCTGGGCTGGCTCGTTTTAGCTCTTACCTAAGCTCTTCCTCCACAGCCCTCTCTCCTCATAGTGGCTGGGCGTTGGGCCTCTCTGCAGCAAGGCCTCTCTGAAAGAAGCATTAGAAACAAAATGAAGGAAGCTGGTTGCCATACACATCCAGTATGCTGACTTTCTATGGGGAGACAGAAGGAAAAAAATCAGCAGATAGGACTGGCATAGGTTTGCTGTTAGGGACAGGTAGGGGTTGCAGGATGCCACTAATGGCATTTTCGAATATGGGTGTCATGACTAGACGTTTGTAGACAAGGGATACTGCTGCACTTAGAGAAGAGCAGGTGGAGTTGCAACTCAATAGGTGGCAGGTGAAAAGTAAGCCTTCATTTCTAAAAGGAAAATCAAATTCATCCTCCCTCAGCCATTGTAGTGTGGTGGACACGTGAACCCTGATCTTTTAAAAGTGAAATGTTCATCTCTGATCTACTAAGTGCCCAGACAGTTGATTGCATGCACTGAGGAAGTGGCCGATGAGTGGCCATGTGCTGGGAGAGACATTGGCTATGTGTGTTACAGGGCAGCTTCCCAGGGAGTGGCCTTCCACGGGAGCAGAGGCTGATGGGAATAGACTGCTGGATGTGGGTAAAAATTGTGTGCACAGTCTAGAGGGTTGAAAAACCACCAGGAAGCCTACTGAAAAGTGGGTCTGCTTTGTTACCACCTGTGCTGGTGGTTCTAAACAGTGCAGTGATGAATTATTCCTGTTGATCACCAGCTAAGTACTACCACTGCTCCAGAGAAGTGCTTTTACTCCGTTTGGCATTCGAGGAGAGAATGGAGTAGGTTGACTTTTCTAGAAGATCTCCTAACTTGTGATTCACTTGGCAAAAGAAGAAATGGTGCAAAGTGCTAGAGTTTAAGCCAGAATTGGATTGGAGCTCTTTCTTGTATAGACAAAATTGTACTTTGCTTAGTCAGGAAAGAGGTAGTGGGCAATGCGGGGCATGCCTGATGATAAATGGTAGCAAGTGGTAGAGTGTTTTCTTAGCAAGCACAATTCCTGAGTTCAATTTCTTGTACCACCACAAAAAGTAATACCCATCAAACTGTCTGGCACATAGTAGATGCTTACTAAACAGCAGCTAGTATTATCCTTCTCCTTCTATGACAGTGATACATTTTTGATCATCTGGTCTTATTCCCCTGACACTCAAGTTGTGGGCCTGGTGAAATTATCTGGCTGATGGGGATGGATTGTCTAGCAGAGTTCCAATTCTGGTGGAGGCTGCCCTAGAGCTAACCCTTCTTTGAGCAACTGGAGGCTTGAGGTAACGTGGAGAAGAGTATGTATTTCCCTTCTTCAACCCTGCAGCTCGTTTTGTTCAGTTTTGCCAGGCTGGGGTTCAAGGACTGGGTTTTACACATGCTAGGCAAGGGCTCACCACTGGGTTGAGCAACTAATTTCTTAAAATCGCTAGACTCTTCCTTTGTTTATTTTGTAACCCAAAGCCAGGCTTCAGTTCTTGAGGGACATGAACAGAAATGCTGCCTCTTTAGAAGAAGCCAGTAATCTTTTGGTGATTTTGAACAGAGCTCTGTACATTTTACAGAGACTACAGGGCTGGAAGTGTAAGCCTGGATACATACTTAAGAGACTTGTATTTATTTGCTCTAAATCCTCATTCCTAGCATTATGGGTTTAGCCCTCTGGTACTGTCTCAGGGCTAGAAGGATCATTGGAGATGCTATGGTCCAGAACTCTGGCCTTGTTTACTTTGTCTATCTTATACTTACACTCACTTCTCATGGGGCAGCTCCATTTAGGTGCTGACACCTTGAGTTGTCAGAAAATACTTGCTATCACTCTCTACTTTCTTAGTAATATGTCTAATTCTATTTCTTTGGGAAATCTGAAGACAGCCCTTGTGAATGTTCACTCTCTTTTTTGAATGTTTAGATTTTCTAGGCTAAATGTCCATCCCTCTAATGAAAAACTTTTCCTCCTAATTTCTGCCTCCTCTTGTTGGGTCTCAGTGTGTTTATGTCATGCTAGAAGTTTACCAGAAGTTACTAAAGCATTCTAAGTGTGGAGGAAGAAAGGGACTTTTGCCTCTTTCACTTTGAGTACTGTATTTCTTTTCACGCAATCTGAGATTTCATTAGACTTTTTGGCATTCATGTCACAATGTTGACTCATAGTCCCTGTGCAGTCAACCAAAGTTGCGGGTTCTTTCAAATACGCAGAATTACAAGTGACTCATTCTCCCTTTCTTAATTGGGTCATTGCGCCATTAACTTTTTCAACAGAAGAATAAGAGAAGAAGAAGAAGAAGAAGAAGAAGAAGAAGAAGAAGAAGAAGAAGAAGAGAAGAAGAAGAAGAAGAAGAAGAAGAAGAAGAAGAAGAAGAAGAAGAAGAAGAAGAAGAAGAGAAGAAGAAAAGAAGAAGAAGAAGAAGAAGAAGAAAGAAGAGGAAGACTACGTTTCTGATTTACGTCTTTAGATTTCCCATGCCATTTTAACTTAGAATTTACTCCCTATGATACCTGTTGCTTATTGTTTCCTGTCATCTAGGAATTTAATGAATGGCTCTCCCAGTTCTCATCCAAGTCATTGATAACTATGAGCAGAAGGCTTGAGGCTTGGATTACTCCCTTGGAGATCTCAGTGTATTTGGCATAGAGAATCACTAATTATTGTGCTCAGTGCTGTGACACTATATCCTGCTTTTGTGATCCAATTGGAAGTCATCTTGTTCTTTCTTCAGCTTGCATCTGCTAAATGCATGGGACCATAATCTATAGGTGATTTGTGGATGTGGGAATCTCTGCTCCAATCTTTTCTTTCTAGTGTCATGGTTTCCTAGCCTAGGGCTTCATTTCGTTTCCACTTATTGAAAGAGACTTTAGAGGCTATTTTGTTATTTATAGGAAAATGGGTTGATTGATCCAACTATTCAACCATGTATGAGACAGCAGATATTCAAAGCAATATGGAACTTCTTTGTTCCACAGCATAATCGGATCCTGAAGATGGAGGTGACTTTGTCCTCCATTTCCCGAATGGAACATAGCCAGTTCCCAATGTCCCACACAGTTCTCTTTCTCCCATACCATATTGCATTTGGGTTAATGAACTTCCAACTGGGAATGCTTCCAGTTTCAAGAATGAAATTACAGATGAATCTCATTATCCTTGAAATCATCCTAACAGAGATGCCTAAGAAAGAAGGCTTTTGGAGGACCTTTACCAAGTATTTTCATCACTGGGACTTTTTGATCATTTTATTGTTTCCATCTAATCCACACAGGTGGAGACGTTGGCTTAAGTAATGTATGGGAATTAGTGTGAGGAGCATTCTTTCTTAAAATTCTGACCCTATCTTCAATTCTAAGGCAGTGTAACAAGAGGACACATTCCCAGAAACTCTAGCAAATAAGTTCCCTGTCTACATTATGACTTGGTATGAAGTGTTTGTCTGAGTTAGTTTTGTGTGAGGGCTGAGATGATTTTGGACAGTACACAATGAACAGCTTCTAGTTTTAGCTCCTATTAAATTTAAATTTTATGGGTGTTATTGCTTAAGTGGTAGGCAAGATCCATTACTGTTCATTTAAAGAGAACATTGCTTTATGTGGGCATGGTAAAACCTGTGGAAGTAGTTCATAAGTGATTAAAGATTAGAAAATGCTGGCTTAAGAGAAAGAGTTTGAGATTGTTTTGGCAGCACACTCAGACTTTAGTCCTTCTGAAGTATGAACTGTGGGCAAATTTTGATTCCTTCTGGTCCTTTGTTTACTCAAAATAGGGAGATTAACTTCCCTACAGGTGACCGTGGAACATGCTCTTTATGCGTGAGATGATTTCCTTGGGTGTTTGATAATGAGCTCTCAGCACACAATTTGTGTACAGAATAGTAATTCTGAACTGTTTTACATACCTGGATAGTTTTGGATGTCAGAACTTAGCCAGTTTGTTTACCCACTCTGGGCCTTCAGTTTTGGTGAAACATGAGAAAATGCTTCATTGTGGAAGCTTGGATGGGGGTCCCCTAGGACAAACTGCTAGTTATGGGTTGTCCATGAGACTGGAACCTCTTCAGTGCTGGGCTGGCTTTGTTCATGGTTCTGTGCCAAGCAGTAACAGACAGATAAATCAGTGCATCCGATTTCTCACCTCAGCCACGTGAGAGAAAACCAAACTTCTGGCCTTTCTTCTTCATTCAGTGTGGCGAAGATCAAGTGAAAGTGCGTTGGGAACCATGTAAAAAGCTAGCACAGGGAATTGTGGAGTTAATTCCCTTAGGCAAACTCAGTTTAACAATGCTTACAATTAATACTAATGACACCCAGAGGACACAGTGCATTTTGCTGGAAAGTTCAACACAAGTCCCTTTTTGTGGCACCTTGAAAGGCTCTCTGAGGTATCCTAGCGATACGTTTAGGCAGGGATGTGTTCTTGCTGGAAAAGTAGAAATACAAAATATCATTATATATTTCTTAAAGAGAGTTTCCCACATGTGTTAGTTCTAGGTTTTTACAAACCTACATGTGCTTCTGCGAGGGCCCTGGGTAAGAGAAGCAACTGTCTCCCTCCTCTGCCTCCTCTCTGACTCTGCCCTTAGCCTCCCTCACCAGGCCCTGCCTGTGTCTCTGATTTGGTGAATCTGACCTTTCTGAGGGAGGATAGAGGAGGAGGATGACCAGGATGTCAACCAAGCTAAGACTTCCCTAATGGGGGCCAGAATCAGGATTGGGCTGGAGAAAGGGGTGTACTTTGTCCATAGTTATCTTTACTGCTTATTTCCTTTTCAGCTACTTAAAATGTTAAGCTTAGTGATATCACAGTGTCAGATTAGCCTGCTTCCTGCTGAGTGTTTGGGCTCAGACAGCCACTTCATACCAATATCTGCTTCTCTCCCCAACCCGAGAATGTTCACCTCTGATTCCTCAGCTCCT